TGAAGCACCACATGTAGATTCAAAGCATTTAGTTTTTCTTTTGCTTATTTCATTTATTCTTTTCTTCTCACAGAAATGTTGACATTACACTTACAAAAGTTTTTAATACCAACAGTTCGTCAAAAGAGAAAGGAGGATGGTGGTGAAGAAAACAAAAAGAAAAAAAATATCAACAAAAAAAAGTTTACAATATTTTACGTTACAAAGACTATAGTTATTGGTTGCAAAGTTGACTCACTACCAAATAGTACCCAGTAATAGACTGGTAAGTTGAACGAAATTTATTGATGCGTTATAGTGTATACGCCAAACAACAATACATCATTGTTCATTAAAGTATTGATATAAATAATGAAGTTCAAAATATGACGAAGAAATATTTAGCTGCTACTAAGGAGAGTTTGGTTCTGAAGGTTTTGTCATAAAACAGTGCAAAAATCTTTTGCCAAAATATTTTTTTAGTCAGTTTCTCAAATAACAAATAAAAAAGATTCCATTTTAAAAAATATATTAATAATTATTAAGAAACGAGTAAATATTTGTTGAAGAGAACAGATTTTTTTTCATATTTTGGAATTTTAAAACACAGATCGTTGCAGCAATTAGTTTTTCTTTTTGCTGTGGTACCAAGAACTACCTGATGAATATTATTCATCACTATTATAGATTGTGATTTTTCTGAAAATTTAAAAAAAAATTTTTTTTCTTTTTTCTTTTTGTATACTGGATTTATCCGGTTTGATTTTGCTCTTTGAAAGAACTGTTCACCACTGAACAGTAATAGGCAAAAATACAAGGATGATTTTACACTGAACAACAACAGAATTTTGTACCAGTAAGTTTTGTATTTTCATGGATGGAAAGTAAACTTTAATCGTTACATCGTTATAGTACAGGGAAATCCCTGTCAGTAGGTTTCTTGCGCGCGCGCGTTAGGATTTGTTTACTGGAGTGATAACCGTTTAGTAAAGTTCAGTTCTCTTATCTGTTTTTTGAACGAAAATTTGCTTGATTTTACCCTAAAGAAAACTGAATTCTACAAATTGTTACTTTTAAAAAACTGAGGAACTGTTGACCTGCTTTCAAAGCAATAAATGAACCGCAGTCTGATAGCTGAAAATATCAGTATTAATCTGACCGGGTTATGGAAGTCCGCTGGTTTTACATAAGGATATGATGTTGAAGTGTAGGAAGTTGCAATGGCGTTTATGTATTTAGTTCTAAACATTTTAGCTTAAATTTAGCTGTCGGAGGACATTAATGCATAACCAGAATATTTCATTTTTACAACTTTATTCAGGTATTAATGGCTTCTAGATGATGATAAATAGTCATTTGTTGCGCTTAAAAGTACGGGTTTCATCGTTGTCAGTTTAACAGTATCTAAAGTAAGCTTTTTTCTTCATTTAATTGTTCAAGTTCCATTTCAAGTTTACTGGTACATTTTAATGCCGCTGATAAGGACAGTCAAACTCTTTCATTAAGCTTTTTACCTGCTTTTTTTGATATTCTTAACTTGCAATAGAATTTTTTCAGACTTTTCTTTAATCATTAACTTTTCTCTGAATACCATGTTTTTAGCCTGGTTGTTCTTTTGATATAAATTGCTATACTGAAACTCTTTTGAATTATGCTTACTTCAGGACTGTCAAGATGCAGTTGTCCTATTCCAATGATGTTCGGATATATAACTTGAGTGCTGGAAAATCTGTACCTGAGTGGATATCAAGTCGTCAGAGAAGGAAATTGGAACGGAAGGATATCGGTAGGTTGGTTAATAAGTAAACATTTAATGTTAATCTGCTGGTTTTGCATCGCTGTTATCATCTGCGTTTTGATTTTTATTTCATGTAAATCCTTTTTTGGATTCAAATGGTCAGGATTTTCTTCTTTAGTATGTTTGAAATATACGAGCCAGTATTGTAGACATTCGCAGGCGAATCCAGTTGATTCAAGATTTTGAGATGCCTGATCTCAGTCACACAGTTGATGTAACTCCAGACGGACGTTACGTGTTTGCTACAGGTGGCTTTTAGCTTGATTTAATAATTTTTTTTATAATACTGTCACTGTTTAGTGGACTCTTCTGTCCTCCTAAAAAAAATTACCATTTAAATTTAGGTACTTACAAACCGTATGTAAAATGTTTCGATTTGAACGAAATATCTTTGAAGTTCTGCAGAGGTTTGGACGCGGATGTAGTAAAAATGATTGTGCTAAGTAGTGACTATTCAAAGGTGTAATTTTCTGTCTAAGTTCTTGGCGTTTCTCAAGGTTATAGTCGTCCAAAATCTTCTATTTGTTCGACAGGAAGGACAATCTTAAAATTTCTTGATTTCCAATTACTAGCTCTTTTTTTCAGTTTGTTTTGTTAGAAGAGGATCGGTACTTGGAAATGCATGCAGCATTTGGACGGTACTTTCGCTTACGAATCCCCCGGTGCGGTCGTGACATGGCATTTTGTCACGAAGCTAGTGATTTGATGATAGTGAGTAGTGGGTAAGGTTTTTTCAATCATTATTGTTTCTTTTTTAATGGTTCACTCCAAAGTGGTCACACATTATGACTGGTTGAAAGTTGACTTTTAGCAGTATACTTAAAATTTTCAGTCTGATTAACTTTACCTTATGAAGTGTTAAAACTATACTGTATTCAATGTAGTTTTTGTTTAGTAACGAAATTTACCGGTTAAACCTCGAGCAGGGACAGTTTCTTACACCATTTATTTCTTCTTCACCATCTTTAACGTGCTGTGACATAAGTGACCAGCATCAGTTATTCTTATGTGGAACTGCCGATGGACGTGTTGAAGCATGGGATCATAGAGACCGCCAACAGGTAGCAATCCTCGACTGTGCTGCAGATGCTGGAGTAGATGATCGTAATCGAAGGTTTATTGGTTTTACAATAAAGCTCTTACCTTGCAAGTTTTAGTAAAAATATTGGATATAAAGTGATTTTTTTTCTTTCAGGAAGTTACCTCAAATATCGGCCCTCAAGTACAAAGACGCTTTGCACTTTGGAGTTGGATGCAGTACTGGCAGTGTTAGTTTCTCGCTGGTTTTGCGTTACCTAATTGAGAAAAGCGCTAATGCATAACTAGTGCAAAAACAATTGGTGTTGGATTTATTTTTATGTATTTTATCTTGCAATATTTAAAGTTTTCACAATTGTACGCCACAGTGTTGGAAGACCTTTGCAGGTTCTTTTATATGATATTCGATCTAGCCGACCGTTATTAGTAAAGGATCATCAAATGGAATTGCCAATTAGAAAAATAGAGTTTGTTCCTGATCTTGAACTTGTGCTAAGCATGGATTCTCGTGTGCTTAAAATGTGGAACGAAGAGTCGGGGAAACCCTTTGCTGCTATAGAACCAGGAAATTGCCTACTTGATTTATGTCGATATCCATCCTCAGGTACGCTGTGGTTTCAAATTTCTTCATGAAAAGATTTCCATCATTGTTTTTTTTTAGCTTTATTCTACCAGTGCAATTTGAAATGGTATTTATAACGATGGAAGGATAGTTTAAGGAAGTCTAAATGCTGTTTTGTTAGGTGTTCACCTAGAGTTAGTCAAGCTTTTTAGTGCTCTGTTTTCTTCTAATGGAGCTGTAGTTTATTTAGGCCTTTTATTCATGGCAAACGAGGCACCGAAAATCTTGCAATACTTTGTTCCGGCTCTCGGGACGGCACCGAAGTGGTGTTCTTATTTAGAAACTATCACTGACGAGCTAGAAGAAACTGATCAGCCTGCAGGTACTACTTTTATTGTAAGATCAACCAAAGATTACTTTTTTTCTTACATTCCACGGTTCTGTTCGTGCACATTCGTCATTGTATATTTGAGCAATTACTTTTCAGTTTACGATGACTACAAGTTCGTTACTGCAAAGGAGTTGGAAGACTTGGACCTTGATGTGTCTGTTTTAAAAAGAATGAACATGCTTCGCGCATACATGCATGGTTATTTTATTGATGCAAGGTTATATGTCAAATCAAAGGCTGTAAAGCAGCAGTTTGACTTTGAAAAATTCAAAGAGAAGAAGGTAACTAATTGTCGTTTGACTTATGTACAGCTTTAGAGATAATGAGGTCTAGTTTTTTTCAGATTGATGTATTCTTGTCTTTGCGGTTACTAAAGGCAGTATTTTTTAGGTAATGGAGCAGATTGAAGCGGAGAGGTCTAATCCATTTTCATTGAAAAAAGTAAGGGAAGATAAATTACCAAAAGTTAACAGGGAGCTAGCGGTGAAGCTTCAAGAAGAAATGAATATGTCTAAAGAGGGAGTGAATAGCAGATGGAGAAAAAAGGTATTACAAAAGTGGTTTTTCGCAATCTGATTCTGACTTTTGATGGGTACTTCTCGAAAATCTACAAGTAAGGTCGTGCAGCGTATTAGTAATGTTACCTGAAGAGTATAATTAATTTATATTGAAGGCTGAAGAAGCAACAACTGTACTTGAGGATGAACGGTTTAAAGGCTTATTTACAAATCCTGATTTCCAAGTGGACGAAAACAGTGAGCATTACCAACAGACACAACAGGCTATTCTAAAGTTTAAAGCCAAAAAGTTGCGACTGGCGAAAAAGAATGGGGTTTCTGAAAGTTCTTCAGAAAATGAGGTACTAATTTTTACAGATGTATAGTAGCACTGTCGGACTTTTTTTTTGCTCTAGGCGACTGATTTCCAATAGGAGCAGTAGGGTTGTTGAAAGTGACTTGAATACTTTTTGTGCAGCTATATATTTGTGGTTGGTTTTACAAGTTGCAGTGGATTACGCGGCTCAAAAGCAGATAAAAACTAGGCGCTGAAGACTGCTTTATTTTGCATTTTTTAGGAAGGATTGAGAGCCACTGCTGTAGACAATCTTCTTCTGTATTAGTAGTAAAACTGAGGAAAAGAAAAGGAGAAGTTATTTTTATTTTTGAAATTGTTTGCGAATGAGGCTTTTAGAAGTTTTAACGGTTTTGAAAATCTCCAGCACTTTACAGGACTTTCCTCAAAGCGGCTTGTTTATGGAAGATCCTAACTTGGGAGATAAGGAGTCAAGCGAGAGTGGGATTAGCGAAGGAGATGATGATGAAGAAGAGGAGACATCGGTTGACGGGGAACCTGGAAATAGCAAAGTTAAACAGGTATATATAGTTTTTGTGTGATTAGCTGACTCTTTATTCTCGTCTTCGCAGGTAAAGGCGCTGTTTTGAATTGAATGATGTTTTGCAGTTTGAAGAGGATTCAAAGGGTGAAGAAGGTGATAAAGATTCGGAGGACAAGAAATTACTTGATGCAGAGGTGAGGAAAGCGAGGAAACCAAAGAGTTTTGAATTGATTGAGTTAGACGCTGGTGAAGACGTTGCTCAGTTCGTAAAGACAAATGAGTCCTTAGAGGTTAATGCACATTTTATTACTTGTTGTTGGATTTATTTTATGTATTTTAGTCTTGTACGTGAAAGATATATGATAAATTTCATCTCGCAATAATTTTTAAGTGTCGCTGTACAAAAACCACTACATTTTTTGTTTAATGAAGAGGGGTTTTCGTTTGTTAACATCACTTATAGTCTTTTGCTTTTTTTAGGTGATGTGGGATTCAACTTTGTAAGCTGCTAATACTCTTTAATTTATATGGGTTTTCTGTTCTTGTTATAGCTGTCACTTGTTAAACTGGTGAACTTGTATTCAACTTTTAAACTGTTTTTTTTATAGAATTCTACGGATACTTTGGGTTTGTTGCGGAAACAAATGAAAGAAATTAACGGAGAAGTGAAACAGGTGAACGCTTTTGGCAGCCGTCAGTTAACTTTTGTGCTCAAAGGACGTGGAAACTCAAGCGTGAATGAAGGAGCTTTAGAAAAACAAGCTCAACATTTAAGAGAGAGAAAGCAGGCTAGACGGGATGTACGTCCAATAATTAGAACTTTGAAAAGGTTGCCTACAAGAGGGGGTTTTAAGGGAGTTAGACGACGAAGATAGTTTTTCAAATAGGTTTTTTAATTTGTCTAATTGTAGATCTGCGACCCTTTTCTGAGTTGTCGACTTACAGATTTATAAGTCTTCACCGCTATTCAACTTCTTTTTTTAAATGAAATGTTTTCCTGTGATTAAATTTCTTTTGCATCATTCTCGAATTGTGAGGAAGTTCTGTTTTTGTATCATTAATCTGCAAAGTTGTAAACAAGATTTATTGTTAGAGGGCAGTTAAACCATGTAAATTTTTGTTGAGTTTAAGGTTTATGTTAATGTCTTTTTAATCATTCTTTCTTACGCACATCCGCAGGTTTCTTTTGTGGAATTGACAGACTGTTGTTTTATCCGTATTTTTTCCTCTCAGTATGGTATCAGCAGTTTTTAAATCGAGTGTTCAGAGCGAGTTGAAGTTTATGGAAGAATGCGGACAGTAGAGATAATTATAAATGTTATGACATAAGTGTCTCACTCGTCGTGCACCGATAATATCATAAAGCTTTTTATGAAAACATCACTTGAAAATGACGCAGCAGAGGTAC